CTTCTACGCTGGTCACCCGTCGCTCACCCTGGCTCAACGACCTCCTCCTCTCACCTCCGCCCCTCTGCGGCGAGCCCCCGTCCTCTCCCCTTCCTTGGCCCCGCCATCCGCCTTGCTCTTCCTCCTCCTCGTCGCGGCGCCGCATCGGTGTCAACGTCCCAAGCCTTACCGTATTCGGCATGGGACCCCGCGCTCGGCAGCAGGATCCCGGCCCCCGCGCTCAAGCGCCGGGTCGGCCGACAAATGAACCGACGATGCTCTTGCTCTCTTTCTCTGTCTGTCTCCTCCCTTCCGTACGCTCGCTTCCTTCTTCTTCCTCCTCTGTCTCTCTTCTACTCCTCCTCCTCTTGTTTGTTTGTTGTCTTGCTCTTTCGTTCAGATGTTTCTTCTGTTGTGGGCAAGGTGCATCTCTTTCTTTTCTTTTCTTTCCGGTACACATGCCTACCTATCTATCAATTATCTCTTACCTACGGTGCCCCCTTTGATCTTTCTAACCGTTCTGACAAAACACCAGGTTGTACAACACAACCTTCCACGTGCTCACGACTTGGTCGAACGCAAAGGTTGACGGTTGGGATACCATTTCTCGGAACATTCCTTGGGTAGGTGCAGCTCGTGCACAGCAACCCAGCTTTTCACAGCAGTACAACAACCTACGTAGCGCTTCCGTGCACAGCAACCTAGCCCTTACCCTCTCTTGCGCCGCGGCTTTGCCTAAACGGTACAGCAGCAACCTATCGTTTCACCTGTCCCGCCTAGGCTTGATCTGTAACCTACATAGCTTTTCACCGTCCAGCAACCTATGTAGCGCCAACCATGCACGGCAACCGAGGTTTTACCCCTCTTGCGCCGCGGCTGGGCTTACTGTGTACAGTGACCTAGCGCTTTACCAGTGTATGGCTTTGGGTCGGGTTACTTGTGGTGGGGGTTAGGGATAGGGCTATATCCTAGGTTTAGGTATAGAGCGGTGAAATAAATGGTACAGCGGGCCGGGTTCGAACCAGGAACCAGTAGTTTCGAAAAGGACGCCATCTAGCCATCGGGGTACATGTATATATTCACCTCCTCCATCCCCACCCGCCCCTGGGCGGTGCCCCGGGCTATACACTAGAACTCTAGACGTCGTTGTATACAGGAAAGTTCGAGAAGATTCCCGTCAACCGTTGCGTTCGACCAGGTCGTTAGCACCCCTCCACCCCCCACCTCCTCCCCCAAGCATTCCGTGGTCGAGTTATGTACGTATATGCATAGAATAGTCCAAGTCTGCAGACAACTTGCCGACTGCGGTGCTACCGGCCTGCTCTTGATTGACTACGTTCGCCAATGCAACGGTCTCTGGGCAGCAACGCAGCAACAACTACGTACAAGTAGCCGTGGGGTTAGGCGTGAGCTTGCATATTGGCGTCTTCTCAGCGATTGTGCAGCCTGGCTGTATTCAACAGATAGATGTGGGGTTGGCGGTGTATAGCGTTTTTTGCCGCTGTAGAACATCTGTGCTCTAGATCCTGTATTGGCTTACGCGGACCATTTTATCACCGTTTTGGACGAAAATCGACCGAGCTATGATACACCCCCGGCGAACCTCGGTTAAGGGCACACATGGTATGATTTCAACTGATGATTTCGACAACGACCAAAAGGAGCACCCGCAATCAATCTAGTAGGTGGGAACTGCAAGTGTTGCGCAACAAACCATCCGTTGGGTCACACAGAGCAGCGGTTTGGGGCTTGTCTCCAACGCCATGTCACGTAGGCTACCCCCATACACCTTCTCTTGATGCAAGACAAATTTCGTCCAGTTTAAGCAAGACAGGCGACAAGGTGGGTGCTATAATATGTCATCCATTGCGTTGCGGAGTCACTTGGACATCTGTACCGGTAGAAGTTATCATGGAGCAGCGACATGCGCGTTGGGGCCCAGCAGATCTGTTGATGGAGCCGTGCTGTCAAGGGTTGCAGCTGTGGTCGAAGTAAATATATTTGTACATGGAGTGATGCTATCGATTTCCTACACGACGAGCGAGCAGACAGTTGTACAGGCTAAGGATCGCCTAAACCACGGCAGAACCTCATCATGCCCACTGCTGTTAGGACAGGAAGGCACTACACTTCATCGTCGCGAAGAGTTGCCTGCAGTGCACTCCCCCCTCCCCTCTTCCTTCATCACACGCATTGCTTGAGTGGCATGAATGCACAACTTGTGGGGCTACCTTGTTGTTGGCCGTGATTGGAAGCGTTTGCTTTGCCACAAAGGACGTTATTGCATGAAATACATTTCGACACCGCCGTTGCTGTTGGTTGTTTGCCTCTTGGCAGGAGCAAGGGAGCCGGTCCAGCATCGCAGCACCACCTGGTAAATGTCGGTACGTCAGGGGGCGCTTCTGGACGGTTTGGCTTCTCGACTGCTGTGTATTTCGCGTCGTGTTTGTGTGGTGGGTATGTATGCGGCACACGGCTTGTGGTACAGGCCGAGCCCGTCCTGCTGTGCCATGTCTCTATCTAAAAGCGTGGCGCTATTGCAAACCAGGCGATCCTTTCTTGACACTCCCCCCCCCCCCCTCCGAGAGCACCCCTTCCTCCCTCGCGATCGCACGGAACCCCCTCCCCCACCCTTCGTTGTCGCCGGTGTCTGCCTTCCGCGCCTCTCTTCCTCTGGTGCTACTTGCTGGGACTACTGTGTTCGGCGCCTGCCCCGCAGTTGCCGACAGAGATATCCACGTCGCGTATGACTTCACAGGACCTGTCCTTGGGAAAGGCTCGTTTGCCACCGTACTCAGGGTTAGGGATCGCGTGTCTGGCTCCGAGTACGCGGTTAAGCAGGTGCGTGTGTGCCGGCGGACCAGGCGGGTGATTGTCACCAACCATGTTTGCGGCTGCCGTATTCCCCCGCTGCGTCTACAAACGTACGTTATTTTGCTCACGCCTCGCCTGTGTCGTGTCGCCTTGCTTGCTGAATATCCATTCCGCCGAAACGTTCACGCATCCCTAGAAAGGTACGGCGGCGCCGAGCCAACTGCCCTGGCCACGTACGTCTAGATTACCGTTTTAGACGGTCGCCGTTCACCGACGGTAGAGGAAGAGAAACGATATCGTATCATGTGACCGGTTCCGCTCGTGCGTCGGCCTTTTTCGTGTTCGCGCGAATGCATGGGACCCTACTTGTAGAGCGTAGTGTCCCATCCTTTTGTACGCATGGTGCGTCGGACATCCTGCCAGTCACAGCAATGGTGTGCCCAATGTTTGAGTAGTTTGCTGCAAAACCAGGGGGGCACGGCGGTGCATATACAGGCTCAATATTGCTGTTAACCCACTTATTTGATCAATACTGCATTTGTTCTATCGCTGTCGAATTAGCTCTCAACAACAACCTCGCGTGTGTTGCTAGTCTCGACCCACCCGCTGCCGCCCCTGACTCCGTTTTCTGTGCGGAACAACAATCCACGCCCCACCTCTGGTGTAGATCGACCTGCATGCGATCAAGGATTCACCGTCAAGCCTGCGGATGATCGAGAGGGAGTGCCGCACCATGATGACGTTATCGCACCCAAACATTGTGCGATTGCAAGAAGTGTACCGGCCGCCCTCGGCAGACCGTCTGTACATGGTCCTCGACCGGTTGGAGGGAGGAAGCGTGGACGGGCTGTGGCGCCGTGTCGGTCAGCTGAGCGATGATCACGCCGCGCACATCATCCTGCAGGTAAATGCAAGGAATTTCGACATGTGACGCAAAGCCACCGCTGAAACTTGATGGCACGATGACCCTGTCGACGAAATTGGGGTGAAAGTCCCTGCGCCGGACACACCGAGCGACCGCGGAAGCGAGACGCGGTATTTGTCTTGGTTGTGTGTGTGGAAGGCGAGAAGCTGGTTTTCGATGCAGCTAAGTACGTCGATGAGGAGCTCGTTGACCAGAAGTTCCAGCTTTTGGAAACGAGGTCCCCTAAGCAACAAATGAGTAGCCCACTGAGCTAAGGTGATATTTTGCCCGGTGGTGCTTTTCAAATCGTGGTATCATCCACAATACCCCACCGTGTGCAAAACGTAGTCATAAGTCAAAAGGAAAAAAGAAAGCAGTTGTTATTATTGATATTCTGCGTTTCGTCGGTTACATAGCGTCCTCGTCCGGATGTTCTTGTTTGTAGGCATGACACCTCTGCTTCGGGTGTCGACAGCCATCATTTCCGATGATGGTGCATCCGGCGCACAAAGGGCCAACGCGTCTGATACAGAAGTCGATGGTAGCCTGCAGTCGGAGTGACGCATATAGATGTAATGTGGGGTATCGCGCTAGGTCTCAGTCGTAGAAGGTAGGCATGTGTCGCACGAGAAGCAAGAGGAGCGGAGCCAGCATCGTCCTAGCTTGCTTTACGGTATCCCCAGCCCTGCGTTGTTCGACTTAGACCCACGGAGAATACCCGAGGCCGACTGCGCTATCGGCGGCATTATCCGTGTTCTCACGCTCATCCCATGGTTCGAACTTCCCCAATATCTGGGACAACGCGCACTTGAGCTTCGACACAGAACCTTTGTCCAATGTCAAGGCCGCGTACCGTTTCGCACATGCACTCTGGTCGACATGACGTCAACGAAGACAACCCGATCTCGACGCAGTCGACTGCATGAACAACCAGCCTTCGTACCTTTGCCGTGGGAATCCAACCAACATTACCAGCCGTACACGTCGACGTCAGTGGCGGGTTTCCCATCCCCGAACTCTTTCCGTGCGTGTTCTCAGGATATCAAACTTCTCCGTCATGACACGTTGCCGTTATTGCCCGCCCCATGCTTCGCACATCAACCTACAGATTGTGTCCGCCGTACGATATTGTCATGACAGAGGGATTGCGGTGAGTTTTTCTATGCTGTGCCGTTTTGGCACACCGGCGTGATTCGCCTTCAAGGCAGCAGCCCAGGCGGGCAGAGAGTGGAAATCCCTGTGAATGAAAGCATGAAACGCGTCTCGACAGTATGTTTTGTTCAGTTCGCAGGGGTAAAAGGTGAACTGAAAGGACTTTACTTTGGTTTCTCCCTGGGGTAGACCTTGTACCCAGGCTGTGGTGCCGTGCAACAATCGTTTATTGGTTGCCCCAGCAGGGTACGTGTTTGCGCGCTCCCGTTGTTTCTGGTATATATCCATTGCCTTGGAGGACCTGTGCCTCCCAGGGTACATGAGCTTAATTTTTAGAATGAGTGCTGCTGACTTTTAGGTGAAACCGATATATTTGCGCTGATGTCGAGAGATGCCCTCGTCCGCCAAGAAGTTTCGGTAGAGACTGAATCAGCAGCAGGTGTCCGTTCTCTTCCGACAAGCGAGTGTCCTGCAATCCCGTTGCGGGACGTGTTGTTGTTTTTTTCCAAGTGTCGGGGATCTGGTGTCTGTGCGTACAGTAGCCCGCAGTTCGACGGGGTGAACGGTGCCACGGGCGCTTCCCTTGGCAGCGGGGGGACTGTTTTCCACGTGCGCTTCCTCTTGGGCCTAATGATCTTGTTCTCACCCACTCCCGAAAGGGCTGCAGAATTGCACTGCTGTCATAGGGATAGATAGCCATCCCGCGTCCGTGTGTGCAATTCTGATCAATAGTCTGTTTGCGTGTGTCGTGTGCGTCCATCCAGCATCGAGATCTCAAGATGGAAAACTGCCTCTACGAAGACTCCTCGCTCGTGCCCATCGTCAAGGTTTGAGATAGAGCCAGGCTTGCTTCAGAGATTATTTTGCGCAGCAGCAGCTGCAGCTCTGTGTTCGTGGAGCGCGGCGAGATTTTTGTTTGGACCGACGGAAGCATTAACGGCAACAGCGCTATACAACGCGTGCAGCACGCATGGTTAGCAGGTATACAAACGTTTCCGCCACCTTCGTCGCGCGAGGTCACTCGACTGCTGCGCTTATGGAGTGCACTGATGTAGGATGCACCCAGTTCACTACTGTTGCGATCGTGCCGATATCTAACAGGTGATCGACTTCGGGTTGTGCGCCGAGATGAAGGATGGAGTGACGTCACGCGCCTTCGTTGGCACAGTGCTCTATACTGCGCCAGAAATCCTCAAGGTTGACGGGCACAACGTCGCCTGTGACCTATGGTCGCTGGGGGTGATGGCGTTCGCTCTGGTTAGCGGACAGTTCCCGTGGTACTCCGACTCAAAGGATGTGTGCGGTCAGATGATCAAGTACTCCCCTCTCCAATTTCCGAAAGAGGTGAGTGTGGTCCCATTGACCCATTAAATTAATGTGTGAAAAGCGGGCGGTACATACCAGGTTGACGCGTCGTTCAAGCTGTAACAGCAGGCTTTAGGTTGTTTGCGGAGTTGGAAATGACGTATAAACTGCCGTGAGCGAACAGTTACGTGGAGCCAAGACGGAGCGCTACCGCATCCAAACTTGTTATGAAGCGTAGACAACCACATGATGCGCGCACAGGATATCAGGTGTGTATTCACAGACTTGGCGCTTGTGTTGTGGATTTCGTGTGACTGCCCATGCCTGCCTTTGTTCACGTGTTCAGAGCATGCACTAGTCTACTTCACGTGGCAACACGAAGCCGATTGGTGACAGATCATTTCTCCTGCCGTTCTGTTGAGCCCGGTTCCTGGCCCCGATTTTACTTGCGCTTGCGCACGTACGCACTTCGGGGGTCCCGCAGAAATGGAAGGGTGTGTCACCCTTGTGCCGTGACTTCATCGAGAAGTGTCTGGTGAAAAAGCCGAAAAAGAGGATCACCGCAGCGCAGGCTCAGCAGCACCCTTGGTTGCAAAAAGCCGCCCGTTTGATGGAGGGGGGAGCGCCCCTGTCGAAGGAGTCGATGATGGCCATGCTCGAGTACCAAAACGGAAACACTTTCCAGAAGTGAGATTAACAACGTTTACACGGTGTTTATATTGTTGGGCGAGAGGAGCTGGCGACGATATTTCTCGGTTGTCTTTCGAGATACGGGCAGGAGGGTGCTGTGCATGCCTCTATTGTTGGGATGGGCTGCGTTGACCGGCTGACCAATGCGAAGTGCCAGTCTCAGCAAGTACGGCCAACAGCGGGAAACGCCCCCAAAGGCCATGAGCTGTGCTGTGTGTGTTTACTATCGACCGCACTAACCGGCTAAGCAATGATTAGACGTCAGGCTCAGTGCGGCTAAAAAAGTGACAAGCGGTTCAGGGAGGCAAGGCTATTCTCCGGATTTACGAATGCGTTCCTATGTGTGTTTCTGTTCGTTGGCATCGACCACGCTAAGTGTCTGATCAATGGAAAGCCGCCAGTCTCAGCGGGTGAGTCAATGAAAGGGGGCCAACTTTGGAAGAAGTGGCGTTGCTCGGAAAGCCACGCTGTATTCAAGACAACACGAAACTGTAGATGGTATGCTACCTCGTGACTTCCTCGCTGTCGCTTGCTCCATCCCTTGGTTTTGCCGTAAACGCCAAAGGATCGTGATGGAACTCGTGGCTTACTCTTACGAGCCGGCGCAAATCAAGGACCTCGAGTTGGACTTCCTGCGGGTAAGTACAAACACACAGCAGTGATGTCGCACACCCCCCACCGCCTCGATAAAGTGTCTGCCTTTCGCGGTTCCCCCCCACGATACCCGCAGTTCCGCCGCCGTACTGGTGATGTCGTTCTTCTATTCGCTGCTGATCTGACCCGGTTTGGTGCTATAGTTCACAAGAGGTCGGCGAGTAGGCGGACGTAGCAGTCCGGCCTATCAGGAAGAATATCCCTCGTAGTATAGTTGATGAGGCACTAGATTCGTTCTATCTGGTTGATACCGGTTGCACTCTAAGCCATGGCCATCGTGCTCAGTTGGCACTAGCTGTCGTTGCCGCGTGGTCACGTAACGGTTCTGACAGAGGGCCACACTCGTTGTTTCACCCCCCGGTCGCGGGCAGATGGACAAGCAGGGCAAGGGAGAGATCAGCCTGGAAGAGTTCAAGGATGGTCTGCAGGAGCGATGGGCCGTGCTAGATGACCCTTCGTGGCCTAACACTCCTCCACCTGTGAGTGTTTATTGTTGACACCATGTCTCCCGAAGGTACAAGGCCTTTGTGACGACCACGTCTCGTCACTGCGGACTGGGTGTCTGCTTTCTTCCAGCGCCGTTGATAGTTGATAGCGTTGTCTTGGCAAGAATGGAATACAGCCCCTTTGTTCCTTCATCGTGCTGAACTCCCTCCCCCCACGTTCCCGTGTGCGTGCCCCCTTCGATACCGTGGACGTTGTTGTGGTTCTCTGACCCGTTCCCTTCGCCTACTTCCTTCCTCCATGTTTCATACAGGGCGGCGATTCCAGCATCCTCGGGACTGTCAGCACACAGAACGGATGCCCACTAGGTGGGGGCAACAACCTCGGTGGATCTCGAAGTCGGCACCAAGATGAAGCTTGCACAGTGCTGTCGACATGGCGGCATTACGGCAGCGGAACCCTCACCAACACCTCCAGCGGCAGGGCAAGCGGAAAGCTTGCCAACAGAAGAGTACGCGTGGGGGCGAAGCGGTCGACCGCTGGCAAGGAAGGTCCACCCGACGTCGGCGGCAGTGGAGAACCGCGCGGCACCGCGGAGCCTCTCGATGGGCGGCCACGCCTTGACCCTACCGGTGATGAGGGTGTGGTAGATCCCGACGCCCTGAAGGCGGCCCTTCTGGCGGTGCAGGCAGACGCGACGGTGTCGAGAGAGGGGCTGCACAGGATGCTAAGGGCGGTACAACGCAAGCCTTTCCGGGAAGACTCGGAGCCCGTCTCCAGCGAGGGCAAGGTTGCACACAGCGCTGCCATAAGCGCTCGAAGCTCGGGAGAGGCATCACTCATACACGGCGAGCGCGATCGCAGGTGCATGAAGATGAACGACGACTGGGTGAGAGACCAGCAACTGAGAGAGAGAGAGAGAGAAAGAGAGAAAGATGGAGAGATATGAAGAACTTGAAAGACACACACAGTGGTGGCAGTCCTGCAGTCTCTCTCTGCCGTGCTGTGCACTTGGCGCTAGCCCTTGATCTGCGCGTGTTACGCCCGCGATATTGACAGGCCGAAGAAATCTTCAGGGCTATGGACCACGACCATTCCGGCAGTATCACGTTTACAGATTTTGTTGCGGGCTGCCTCGTCGAGAAGCAGGTCGGAGAGGCTGCCCTTCAAACGGCATTCGCCAGGCTCGATCTCGACAGGTAACGGACAATCAAGGTATTTTGAGTGTCTCGGTCGACCGTGCTTCCGAAGATACGCTATCCTCTTTTTCTCGGGTATGGTGCATATCCAATAGGAGATGCAGCCACTCCTCTCCTATCATGTCTTGGTCCCTGATTACCCACCCGTATACCATGTGACTAATGTCTAAGACGGAGTTTAACGAATCGTCTGCTGGGCGACTCTTCTTCAGGTGCTCACGAGCTGTCGATATGGACTCGTACAGGATGGTTGAGGCTTTTCTAGAACGTGCGCATAGCTTCTTCAACGACGGAATCGTGCACGTAACTTGTATGTCACCTCGCCTGTTTCCCACACAACCTCCAACATTGTTGTTAATTGATTTGTCATGTGGGGCAATTTTCATTTTGCTGTCCGCGTAGGTCAGGACTCATCTCGCTGGATGACGTCAAGCTGTACCTCGGGGAAGACTTCAGAGAGGACGACATGGTACGCAACATGAGGGCCATCTCTACACGGGAGGACGGCCAGGTACTGTATACACATCGAATGTTGCACACGTCGACCCCGCAATGCATAGAGTATAATTCAATGGTAGCTTCTCGAGCACGTTCGTGGACAATGCTACGCTTGGTCCAAACCCAGTCTAGCTAATGTAGAACAGCAGGGTTTGCTTCCCCCCAGAATGTCACAAGTGTTGAAGAAAAGCACCTCGGCTATTATTGCAACTATTAGATTCGTCGAGAGTTGGCGGACGGCTCCGAGCAGATGTTTTACCTATCACCAGAGCACGCTACGGGCATACCAGCCTTTCGCGAGGGTGACGGTTTTTGCGAAAATGGCGACGCACTCGGGGCTTTAAATGAGCCCTCCACAGGCCGCGCACGCTTCCGAACGCTTCGGCGGAGACCCGCCAAACGCTGGCCTGCGCGGTACTGGCTCTCTCCTGCGGTTGCCGAGAAATTTGACGCAGAAGAAACGGACGGCGATGATACCCCAGCGCGTGTTGGGATGGATGCTTCAACATTTTGGACGTACACCGTTCTTAAGGTAGTCGAGTTGTACAATCGACAAGCCGCCGTTATGCGATGCTCTTGTGATGGCATGGTATCATCTGAAAAAACCAAGGGCATCGAAGCATCCAGTCGTGTGACTTCTTTCCCACCCACCCCCGTGCCCCCTCCCAGCTGACGCCTCCCCTGTCGCACCTTACTCCACTCCGCGGGTCCCCCTGAAGGTGGCTTACAATGACTTCAAGAAATGTTTGTTGTGGGGAGCCCTGCCGAATTCTCAAGTGGTTACGCCGGCCAGGTCCAGGAGCGCCTCCTTCAGGTTTGTAAACCGCGTTGCGTTCTGGGTTGCTGCTTTTTTCAAGAGTGCGGCTGCTTTATGAAGTACATGCATCTTCTTTTTTTCTTGTAGGCCAGTTGTTATGGAAAGATTTCCCAACTGGGAATCCCGATATTACGCCTTTTACACCCAAACCCCCATGCATCAGCAGGAGTTCTGCGCACTTGGTGGGAAAAGCACACCAAAGCGCTTTGTCATTCAGTACTCGCCTCACGGAAACCCGTTTTCGATCAAACCTTCGAGGCTGTAGGCTACATTGCTGTGAGCCTCTCGGAGCCAAGTTTGGGGAGCTGGGGAGGAGTGTGTGTTCATCATGCTTGGAAAAAAAGGATTCCAATCTGGGAATATTGGACGATCCTGCGTGGGAATTCCTCATGGATTCCAAACTGGAATTGGTTGAAATTCCAATCTGGGAATTGTGAATTTGCTTTAATATCCGAGGCTACTCTGTGCACACTCCATTCTAGCTGACCAAACTTGGCTCCGCAAAGCTCACAGCAGTGGACTGTACAGCGTCGGTGGTTTGATAAGGGACAGGTCTCTGTGAGGCGAGGACTAAGTATCGAAGTGCCGTGGTGGGCTCTGCTTGCTATCCAGTACGCAGACCTCCTCTTTTGGGGAGTGGCTTACCATTTTCTGTCGACCCCCCGCATTCCAATCTTGGAAAATCTACCATAAAAACTGGCCTTACAACGTGCTATGGGTCTTTCAAGCTGTATCTCCACCTCTACTGCTGTGCCCCCCTGTTGACTTCTCGTTCATGAGTTCCCGCATGTGCGATCGGCATCGGATCGATTATGGTGTTGACCTACTTGGGAGATTGGTGGGATGTTCCATAGGGGATTGAAAGGGTTGTCATGCCCACAGCCCCCCTTCTTTGAGTGAAAAAGTTGACCGTGTGGTGGCAATATCATAAGACAGACTGCCAGATGGCCGGCTCGAATGGGGTGGCGTATTCTATATTTAATGGCCATGAGTGCCGTGGCTTTGTTGTGCTTGTGCATGGAAGTGGCGGCTCATGAGCAGAATAGTGAAGCGCTTTCAAGTGAAAATTCCCTCTTGACATGCACTCGTGAACATAGCTCCAGCAAACTCACCGGGGGGTATATTTAGTACCGAGCACAGGAGCGGCATTGCAGTCGCTTGCCGTGCTCTTGTTGCGTCGAGAGCAAGGCGAAGGATCCCTGGTGCCAGAATACGTTATTTTTGCCCTTTCTTCGACTCCGCCCGCGGCGAGAAATGTGGCACCGCGATCACATGTTGGGTGTTGTTTTTTCCTAGATTCAGGAACGTTTAAAACATCAGAGGCTTCGGCGAAGGAAATTCCACCGAAATACCGCCCGGTAGGAATGAGTCTACCGCATCCCAACCGACCCCAGTGGGCCACTCTTTCGGAACGCCTTCGCGATACATTCAGTTTGTGAGGAAATGGAACTGGGAGGGGGTGCGCAGACCCTACTGACTCTCTCCCACTCCGTTGTCTGTCCCCTCTTTCTTCCTGGGGTTGCCGCTGGCCAGGGCGTTGTCCAAAATGGTTTCATCGAACGACCTCAACAAAATGGACGTCGAGGGGGGAAAGGACCTGGACGCCGAAGAAAGGGCCGTCGTCAAGGCAGCCGCTTTCACGTGACACACCCTGAGTCAAGGGGTTTTCTGCGGGGATGGGAGTGGCGCAGCCCCGTCAGAACAGAATCGCCCCGTCGCGGTCTGGTAATTTGTTTTTCGTGCTCTGTGCATGCCTTGCTTTTTCGTTTCGCTGCGCCATGTGTAGGTTGTGTTGTTTTGGTGGAATATCTGACCCCCTGTGTTCCGTCGAAAGATGTTCGTCGGTCAACAGGTGGTGTGCTGATGTTTGTGTCATTGAGTGTTGTATTGCGTCAGCGTGCGGGGTAATACCCACTGCTGCTGCCGAGACGGCGTGCTGTGTTTTCTGGTACCGCACGATGGGCGGAGGGGGGAATAAGCGTGCTTGCCGTCTTCAGCGCCTGGTGTCCAAAGCAGTGTTGGGCTTGACGTTGACAAGATAATATATAGACAGCGAGTGTCTCATACAGGCATGCGGGGGCAAGACGCAACCAACCGCGTCTCGCTGTATTTGTGCCTTGCCGGTGCTGCGCCGAGGAAAGCTCATACCAGAGTGGCGGTGTGTTGTGTTGGTGGAGCATTTTTCTTTCAAGCGGACAACAGCGCCAAGCTAGTTAGAGATACTCATTAATAAACTGTGGCCGACGGGGAAACGCTCAACGGTGGGGAATGCCGTTTGTATAAGTTCGATCTTGTTTGTAGATATGACAACGATACTCTGTGTGTGTTTGGTTATGTGCTCTTTTTGGTTTTGTTTGTGACTTACCGGTATTTTTTTTGGTGTCGTTGGTTTTTTGTGTTTGGCAAGACGTACGTACATCAAATGTGCGTCACAGGTAAACGACTTTTGGGAAAAAACCATCACCACGCTAGAGTGAGTAATAGTACACGGAGTGTTGGTCTTCAGGCTTTGCAAAGAAGCGCACATGTAATCCATGGGGGAAGATTGTATGCAAATGCACGTTTGATTCGGAACACCGTACGGTACCTGCTTGGTGTGTATCGTTCCCATTTTCTGCTGAACACACCAGTCGCGATCTCCGGGGCTGGCTGCGTTGTCGACACACAGTTATGTAAATAAATGTCGACTGTATGGGAGACACAACGAGATATTTAGAGAGTGGAGCCAACTACGTAGAAGGTGCGTTCACTGTTTTGTCGTAAGGTGCTTGTCGCCTCGCTGCTGACCAGGTCTAAACTGAAAAAGATCGAGTCGCTCTTAACCGGTAGTTTTTTGGGGTGGTCGCAACTGGGGAGAAATTTGTGAGGGAGGTGCGGCGGAGCAACTCGGAGCCCTTTACAGGTGTCGCTGAGTTTTCGTCGCTGCTGGCAGATTTATTTTGAGGCGCGCTTCGAATTCTCGTTATCGACATTGTAGTAGAGCGCACACGGGCGTTTTGGATGTGCCGCGTTTTCAGGTTGTTGCGCTGCTGACCAAGAGTCGCGATTCCTCCAACAATCGTTTCAGTATTTCTTTTTCTTGTCTGATTGAGATTATTTTGCAGGTTCGTGTGCCGTGAAAGTTAATGTTTAAGTTCGCTGTGTTTGTTGTGCTGCTGACTTGGGATGAGTCTCGCTTAGAATGGTTCGTTTGGGACACGTATCTCGCCTAATTGGGCCAATAGTGTATGAGGTGTATGAGCAGGTTAGATAGACCATTGGTTTATAGAACTGTGTGCCAGCCTTGTTAGTGCTCTCTGTGGGTGTGCGTCAATAAAGTAGGTTGATGGGCATAGGGTGAATCCAGTTCATCCTCCGGGTCACACAATTTGATCAATGCTTTCCTTTAGCCAGTTCATCCTCAACTCGCGAGTGCACACAACAGAGAGGGGGGGTTGCTGAACCCTAACCTCTCGTCCCCTCGACGGTGGCGACGATGGAGCAAGAAACTGACCCTCGACCTTGCTCGACCCGACATTGAATTGATGTTTCCTACTCCGAACGCCAACTGCAGCAATTGGTGTTGTTGTCGTCACATTGATCCTCGCTCCGGTCTCTACTCAGTACCTTCTAATATCCGTACTGGTCCAAAACTGACCCGGGCGCCTCGCAGCAGGCCAACTACCCTTCTAGAAGTCAAATGGAAAATACAGACGGCCTCAGAAATCCTCATTCCAGGCCGGGGGGCAATCGAACACGGAGAAAGAAAGAACAGCATAGTACACAAGCAGGAACAGAAAATTAGGATACGAGAAGGCCCAAATACAGACAACCAAGAGAGAGAGAGAGAGTCCAAGGCTCCCGCTCGGTACGCGATGCCAAGCAACATAGGAATATATCAAGGCAAAAACACAAACAAGAGTCGCCTGAATCTATCCTTTTGCATCCCTACAGGCCGGGGTGATGAATTTCACGGTAAATACTGTATGTACTCTTTGTTTTGCTGTGGTATTTCGTGATTGTGGTCACCGCACCAACGTGGTGTGTGACACATTCACCGAGCACGACGTCCGTCAACCAAAGCGTCTGCACAAATAGCAAGTAGAACACCAAAGTCTCCTCATCGTTGCCGGCAGGCCTCATCGCCTCATCGCCACGCTAGACAGAGTTCCGAGCTATGCCCAGCAACGATTACGACTTGATCAGCAAACAGGGCAGACGAAAAGAAAGAAAGTACGAAAAGTCGCCACCTTCCTCATCCAGAGGGAGACTCCAATCCAACGCAAAAAATACACCCACGCAACCACATACCCCCACTTAAAACTTAAAAATCACGTTACCAACACTCTAGCCAAAGCCATTTTCTTAACCAACAGGAAACAAATTGAAAGAGTATTACTGCAAGGTAGAAAATAGGACAAGCAAAACAGACTTACTGAAGGTTACATTGGCACGAGCGCGACGTCTGTATCAGCCGGGCGTGGTACTCTCAACTTGACTTCCAGTTTTGACAACAAGCGTGTCCGTCGGCTGTGGTCGTCTCCGCTTCAACAACTCCCACCACCTCCTCTTTGCTGCCGCAAATTGTCGCTGGGTTCCACGACGTCGTGGCCTTGCTTGGTGCAGACTCACGTACGTGCGTGTGTTTGTCAATCACCACACCTCGTACATGATGAAGAGTTACTACGACGAATGAAAAAAGCAGGGACACATGAAAAAGAAACAAACACACGAGCAGGTTGGGACTCGTACCGCATTCCTCGTCCAACCACTCCATTCGTGCTAACCCCTGGTCTACTTCGGTGTCACTGGAAAGTCTAATCTATTATAGGGTATCCACTATGGATTGACGCGGAATTTTGACCTTTGAGGATTGACGCCAACATAAAGTGACGGTTGAGGGTTTTGACGGGAAAAAATTCGCACCGCGTGTGCCCGTTGACACGTGAGAGGTGAAAAAAAAAAAATGGTGGAGGTAGAGTTCAAGGTTGGTTCGGGCTGCCACCCAGGGTCGACATTCCGAAGCGAAGACTCACACCCCCAGGCTCCCAGGAGACTAGGTGTACCCCTTCGCCTCATCCCGCCGACCTTCCCTCCTTTGCCGCGGCGACTTTTCCCAGGCGTCAAACTGCGACTTCCCAGGCGTCAAACTGCCGTTCGTTGCTGATGAGTAAGGCAGCTGCTCGCTGCACTGCTGTGTATATACCGATGTCACTGCGGCAGCAGAGCACCGAACCCCGTGAGGGGGCGGGCGAAATGCACCTACTGACTGGCAAAGTCCGTGTACCCTCCCTTACTCCTCTCCATGTGCTGCCTTCGTGGGCGAGACTCCCCCAATCACTCCCCTGCCTATGCCCCTTTTTGCTGCTGAAAGCCCGTGCGCAATCGCGACGGCGCATCTACCGAACGCGCGCGCCGAACACGCGCGTCTGGCCACTTGGCCGCCGTGAGAACTGCCGAGACGCGTGGGTGCAGGACCGCTAGGAGCAATCAGTATAGGCATGGCCAATGTGTTCGCTGCTGACCGCGCACAGCAGACCGCAGCAGAGCAAGCGTGTGTGAGCCACAGTCTGGCGATGTTTGAAGCGTCAATCTTTTCGCGTCGTTTTATCTTTGGGTGAAATTTAATTTTGATAGGCCTGTGCTCCGTAGGTGACTTTTTTTTTTTTTTTTCGGTGATTTTTTCCGATTACCAAAAAAAAAATCGGTGATTATTCTAGCTGCACGAAAACGTTTTTCGGTGAAAATCGGCGACAAAACAAAAAAAAAGGTGAGAACCATACAAAACTTTTTCGGTGATTTTCGGTGATAAATTGAAGTAATATTGGGGTGAGCTGCCGAAAAACGTTCTTCGGAGATTTTCGGCGATGTTTCGAAGGATCGTAGTAAGTAACGTCAAATATTAAGCAAAAATAAAAACGTTGTACGAACTCTGGTGGTTCTTTTTGTACGTATGTATCTCATCGTCGACTCATCAGAACACCGATAGATGCCCTCCGGCATGATTCAACTGCTGACTACCTACCGACCTGGTACACAGGCACGCACTACGCACCACGCACTACAGCTACAGATCAGCCAGAGCCCGGCTCGCCCAACAACGTAGACAATAAACCAAGAAGCTCCATCACAGGTCACCGTCGCCATCCTCCGGGGCATCCTCACTCCCTTGCCTCAGCCCTCTGCTACTTCCCCTTCCCCTATTGTACTTCAGTAGTGCGGAAGCGCATATGCGGTCGCTGTACACCGACTCTTGACGTTCACTAAAGCAACACCGCAAGATGGAAAAAACGCGTTCCATGAATGCTGACGACGGCTGCAGAAGAACAATATCCAACACCAACTCGTGCCACGTAGGGAGTTGTCTCTTGTTGTTGCTCCAAAAAGTCATGTTGTCGTAGTCAGCGTCGGTGTCGGTGGCGGCGACGTAGAAGTCGTTCTTCTCCTTCAAAAGTCCGTCCACCATGTCATCGCCGACAAAGGGGAATACCGAGAGGCTGCGGATCTCGTCATTGGAGTACTTGTGAGTCTTCATGTACGTGAAGTCCACGAGCTTTGCGGCTTTGAAGAGCTTCATTGTTTCAGCCAGCTTCGCCTCAGAGTGGCTGCCGATCCTCTTCGTGTGCGTACGCGCGGGGACGGCCAGGCGCGGGGACGCTAGAAGCACCGGCTCCATTGCGACGCTCACTGTCACCTTGGGCGGCCAAGGTGCTACGAACGGCAGCACGGGCTCTGACACGATGATAGCTAGCAACCCAAACAGCCGCTGAAGATCGTGGGACACCAGCAGTAGCAGCCGCCGCTGGAGCCACCGCCGCCGCTGGAGCCGCCGCCGCCGCCGGAGCCGCCGCCGCCGCCGCTCCAGCGGCGGGACTGTCACCAACAGCAGACGGCAGGCGGAGACGGCGCTCGGGAGCACGGGACGCGGGTGTCGAGCGGGAGATAACCTCACAATCTTCAGCAGTTGCTCCAGCAACGGCAAGGGGTTGGGCATTGGCACTGCCGCCGACAGCAGAAGAAGGCCGACGGCGCTTGGGAGCAGGGGAAGTGGCTGTCGAGGAGGAGAGAAGCTCACATTCGGAATCTTCGCCATCACTACTGCTGGAGTACAGCCCTATTCCGAGGAGACCCGCTCATCTATACCACAAGTGTGTCCGTACCGTTTACCGTGGGTGGTGTCTGCAGCGCGGTGCTTGGGTTGCGTGCGCTGTGTGCTGTGTGCTGTGTGCTGTGTGCTGTGTGCTCTGCTGCTGTGCTGCTGCGCTTTGAGGGGGGGTATCTGATGGGATTTAGGGGGTATAGCCTGTATACACGGAGCCCCCTAAAAAAAAACGGTGAAAATCGGTGGGCGCCGGCAACAATCAGTGAGGCACCGCCCGTTTTCGGTGATCGGCCACTTTTTTTTCGGTGATTCAAAATCCTCACTTTTTTCGGTGACCTTTTCAAAATTCGGTGATTTTCGGTGATCACCTACGGAGCACAGGCCTAAATTTTGACGCTTCCTCACAAAAATTTCGCCGTCAGAGTTTGCCCCCAAAAAAGCGGCGCAACCTCTTCACGTCAAAACTTCCTGAAATGTCAATCTTTCACGTCATTTCAACAACACGTGGATTCCCTCTATTGCCGTGGGAATTATAACGGTAAATCACTGTGCTCTAGGCGGAAATTGGGATTATTGTCGTCGAAAAATTACCGCGGAGTGATTCACCAGGACAGCCAGCCCGGGTCTTAACCTCCTAAACCGGCGAATGCTCTTCCTTGCAACCACCAATCAAGGACCGGGGTCCTCGCGGTCTTGACACATGCGGTGTACCAGCAGGTGCGCTAGCATCCTCGTGGCGTGCTTCCCGTGGTGCATGCCATCCTGGATGTCGAGAGCCCACTTCTTGGTCAAGGTCGTCCAGTTCACCTGAACACAATCGTCGGCATTAGACGGGCAAGTTGGGTCAGCCCGGCCGGCGGTGTGCGTGGGCTTTCGGCGGACACACCAACACCGGTAGCGCTAGCAGGAAGAGGGCACAGGAGAGCGGGGGTCAAGGGGTACGAATCGGGATGTGGAAGCCGGAATAGGAAGGGTCTACCACTGCTCAAGAGCTTGAAGGAGCATCAATGAACTCGATTGGGGGGGCAAAGGAATGAGGAGGAGATGCGTGCATGGGCCGGAGGCGACAACGCTTCTGCCGCGGCATGACAAGCATTTTGATCAAGATAATCAACCTTAACCCCTCCTTCACACCTCGAAGAAAAAAAAAAAAACTGTCGCGGTTCATGCACTACACTCGGAGCCGAGCACTCGCCTCAATCCACCCCTGGGTTCCAGCACAGCCCGAAGGCCGTCGTTGAACTGAACAGCACGTTCGTTCCAGGACGCAGTGTGGCTCCCTCTCGCTCACCAGGAAGGGGGAAGACATCCAGAACAGAAACCTTCGTTGGGTCGCAGACCGAGCATTTGATCCAATCCAAGTAGCAAGCGGAAAAACATTGCAACAAGTGTCACGTTTTGTTGATACAAGACTATTTGTAGCAAGTTTGATATTCGTGGTGTGGTGTGTGCCATTTTGGGTAGCATAGTTGGCCTGTGACTAAGGAAAGCATCCACGGCAGTTGTACCGGCGCGGAAGTGAGGAGAAACCGAGCAGAGACCGGAACGGGTTTGTCTATGATGTGGAGACAACAACAACACCAAAAACAACAGATTTCATCGTTTTCAGAGTTTTGCGGGTGGATGCAAGACGACGTGTTTTCTGTTGCAACCATCCTCATTTGCTAGAGGACGGGTTCATCTGGGTCAACACACCAGCACTTATCATGCAGTCTAACCACTCCGAGAAAACATTGCGATACCACTCGAGAGTAGTTAGTATTATGCCTTTCACCATTATAATTATTAGAAGCCGTCGACTTACGAAGTATGGGTACTGGAGTTATCACGGTACGGATTGATTGACGGGATGTCGTAAGCTTCGGAGTCAGTGTTGATCGACGGGACCCTGAGGTGATCGCGTCATACGTTGGAAAAAAAAAGTGTCCTCACCTAGGGCGGAATTCTCCATTCTCCGTCATTTTGTCCAATGTCTTGCCCAGATTCTCGAAAAAGTGGGTGATCTCGCTGCCATAGCCATGGTGCCACAGCTTGTGCATCATGGCCCAGTTGGCCAAAACGACGTCCGGTCGAAACTAACTGTTTTTTTGTCGTAGAAGACGCGGAGAGATGTAACTCCCCGCGGAAGGATAAAACAGGGGACAGGATCTAGTAGCCCCTGCTTGTACTGAGGACCCTGCGCCCCTTGGTGTCATTCCTACCGATACTCAAGGCAACAGCTACTGCTGCTGCTGCTGTTCTGCAAGAGTAATAACAAGTGAGTTCTTCTTCACGGGTCAACCAGACTTCATCACGCGTGCATACCACCACACGAAGGTGCTGGTGTGCACAATCGATTAAGCTACTCATGCTCCTGATGTGGGTTGCAGCTTGGGCTGAGAAAGGTGAGGTAGCAAAAGGTTGTAAATGAGGAAGCCTGGCTTGGCTGTTTTTTTTTTTTTATGAAATTAGGCCTCCTTACCAGTCCAGTCAACGTTGACTGGTCAGATGGTCTAAATTTTTATAGAAAATGATACCCGCACGATGTGTTCCCCCTTGCTCAGTGTTGCCTGGGAGCGATAGCGAGCGACTGAGAGAGAAAGGAAGGAGAAGGAAACAGGCCGAAGAAGCGAAGCAGCTCCAACCTGTACACAGTGGTCGGACTAGCTGGCTGGGTCTCCCACACTTTCTACAGTTTTCCCAAACGAGCCATGGGACTCCCATGAGTGACCCATGGGCAGCCCATGGGCAGAACCCATATATATATATGGGCTGCCCTGAGCGTGCCCATGGATGGGTAGCCTGTGGGCAGCCCATGGGCGGCCCATGGGCGGCCCATGGGCAACCCATGGGAAGTCCATGGGCGGCCAATGAGAGCCCTTCAACCGAACCACCAGTGTACTCCTAAACAATAGATTGTCTGCTTTGGAACGGGCACTCTAGCGGCTAATACCCCTACCGCTAACCGTAACCCTAGCCCCAAGCCCACACAATACGAGCTGGGTTGGCGCTTGTGGCTAAGTTCTAGGTTGATATGCCGGTGGCGAAGTTTAGGTTGAAGTGCCCACGGTGGGCACTTCATGGGCCGCCCATGGGTGTCCCATGGGCGGTTTAACAAAACTGTCAGTAGTGTGGGAGATTGAAGTCCCACACTGAACCGGCGTCAAATACCGTCACACTTGGCGTCGTCGGCAGGACACAACAACGCCATCGACTGTGGAGGAAGCAATTTTTTTGCTCTTTCTTTTTCTTTTTCTTTATACTTTCCTCTATCTTTTTTCAATCTAGAGTTACCTCGCATAGCGTGCAGAGAGGCGAGCGGAATGGCCTAGACTATCTGTCGTTGACTTTTTATTGGCTTGCGGACCCTTCGGGTCCATTTTATTTTCATATACCTTTTTTGGGGTAAGTTAGCCTGTGACCACGGGAATCGACCCCGTCAAGTGTTAGACTAGACGGACAGTTGAAGGTACTGAGCAGAGAGAACGGGACGGTTTTTTAATGTGAAGACAACAACAACAACAACAACAACTCTCGGAGCTTGGATTTCCACAGCAACATCCCGATTCATTCGGCATCAACTGGAGCATTGAGCGCAGCGGGTGACCCCATGTTTCGAGGCTGCAGCAAGCTGTTCATCACGCGGTAGGTATTGGCTACTTCGCGAGAAAAATGTCAACATGGAATTTTTTTGCTGAAAGCATGTGAGGAGCGAGGAGCAGCTAGCAGACATATGGATTGACGAAGCATCTGGATCGTGTCCAATTCGTCAAACTGAGGATGATGGTTACAGGAATGAATGTGGCGACGATGCACAGTGTTTAACTTTATGGGGGGCTTTCCGCGGAACGTTCCGCGGACACTTTCGCGGACACTTTCCGGGGGAAGTGGAACGTTCCGCGGACACTTTCAGCGGGAAGTGGAACGTTCCGCTGAAATTCCGGAAGGTCCCGCGGAAAGCCCCGCGGGAAATATGAAGGTTCTGCGGAAAGTTCCGCGGAAAAGTTCATATTTCCGCCGAACTTTCGACTTCCCGCGGGAACTTTCCGCGGAACTTTCCACTCCCAGCGGAAATAACGTTCTAAAATTTCCGCAGAAGCTATCAGACTTTCCGCGGAACGTTCTACTTTCCGCCGAAAGTGGAAAATGTATTGATTGGTTTGTATTTATGTCAGGGCTATTGTCTATCTACGTATCACAGAGAGAGTCTTCTTGCGGATCCTCCATCAACTGTAGTATGGTATGGAAGGAAGTTCCAACGACGCCCTAATTACGTTTGTGATTGACATCGCAACTCGAGTGCCGTCGGCGTTACCTGTCTGAAGGTTTCTTTCCCGTACTTGTTAGCGATCAACTCTCAAGTAAGTACTGACAGCAGCAGTCTCGAGCATGAGACGCAGCCAGAAATGAATTGCACGAAACCTCTCCAAATTAAATTCGAACCCAACGTCATGCTGCCGAAGATGACAAAGACGAAGCAAACCAACAAGAATGGCCTCACAGGCACTACTATTGTAGGACGGCGTGTATTGCCTGGTGGAAATCAAGTACTACTCCTGACAGGGTCCGAAAAAGGTTGCTCGTTTGGGAACCGAATTCGACCAGATGGATGGGATGAATAGCTGCTCCGTGTTCGGTGTATAAATAGGTCGTTCCTGTCCGTCCCGCATTGCCTGGTCGATCGGTCGATCTGGTGTAGCGATGCGCATAGAAGTCCGTGCGTAGACCAGCAGGTATGTCGGGTTGTGATTCGTGCCAGGTCGGGGTGAAGTCGTGAGAGAGGTTATAAGGCCACGTAGGCAATCCTGCATACTTGCGCCCCCGACCTCTCGGTCGGACCTGCCTGACCGAAGTGAGCGGTGATGGGACACGCCGCCAGGAGGAACAAGGTAAGTATTATTGCCTTCAACCAGCCAACAAACGAGGGGTTTGCGACCAACAAAGAGACTGAAAAAAAGACGATACCGTACCGTATACCGTATACCTTTCCAAGCAGGGAACCACAGCATCTGTTGTCTGTGGCACACGCTATCCCAAACTCGCATCGGCCGCGTCATTTGAAGTACCGTAACACGCACAATCAATTACGGTACTTGTACCAGAAACGCCTGTGTTGGTTTCTTGAGTATCGCACCTATCGGTGTCATCGCACCTGGGTGCGTCCACTCAGCACCGTAAAATGGCCACTATGATTTCTTCCTTATCGCACCCATCGGTGTCATCGCACGGGGGGTGCGTTGGAAAGCTAGAACGAAATGATTTAAATGCATTTCCGCATAGGCATCGGTGTAATGGTCTAAAAACAATCGCACCCCCGGTGCCATAACACGGACAATTACCTTGCACAAGCAGGAAAACACAAAATTAGGAGACGGGGAGGCTTAACCTTAATCCACACAACCAAGAAAGAGAGACCAAGGCTCCCGCTCGGTACGCGATGCCAAGCAACACTAAGGTCACCTATCAAGGCAAACACGCTACCAATAATAAGAGTCGCCTGAATCTATCCTTTTGTACCCTACTAGGCCGGGGTGTATTCGCCGCCCGGGACTACACGGTAAATGCATTGTATGTGCTCTTTGTTATGCTATGGTATTTCGTGAGTGTGTGATCACCGCACCAACGTGGTGTGCGACACATTCACCGAGCACGACATCCATCAACCAAAGCGTCAGCACAAATAGCAAGGTAGAACACCAACGTCTCCTCATTGTTGCGGGCAGGCCTCATCGCCTCATCGCCACGATAACAGAGTCCCGAGCTATGTCCAGCAATGTTTACGACTCGATCAAGAAACAGAGCAGACGAAAAGGAGGAAAGCACGAAAATGTCGCCGCCTTCCTCATCCAGAGAGAGACTCCAATCCAACGCCAAAAAAACACCCACGCAACAACAGACCACCACATAAAACAAAAAAAGCATGTCACTGCCGAAGTCAAATCTCAATCGTTCGACCAACAGGAAGCAAATTGAAAGCAGATGTAGTACTTTATCGTAGAAAATAGAACAACCAAAACAGACTTTACTGTAGGTTTACATTAACACGAGCGCGACGTCTGTATCAGCCGGGCGTGGTACTCTCAACTTGACTTTAAATTTTGGCAACAAACGTGTCCGTCGGCTGTGGTCGCCTCCACTTCAACAACCCCCACCTCCTCTTTGCTGTCGCAACTTGTCGTTGGGTTCAACGACGTCATGGCCTTGCTTGGTGCAGACTTACGTACGTGCGTGTGTTGTCAATCACCACACTTCGTACATAAAGAGTTATTTTTTCTCGCGAAAATACCACGAGAAAAAAGCAGGTAGAAATGAAAATGAAATGAACACACGAGCAGGCCGGGATTCGTACCGCGCCCCTCGTTCAACCGCCCCATTTTTGCGGACCCCAGGCCTACCTCGGTGTCACTGGAAAGTCTATTGCTATTGCTATGGGAACGGTAAATCACTTGGCGTGTCTAGGCGGTAATTGGGATTACTATTATCGCAAAATTACCGCGTAGTGATTCACCAGGAAGGCAGCCCGGGTCTTAACCTCCTAAACCGGCGAATGCTCTTCCTTGCAACCACCAATCAAGGACCGGGGTCCTCGCGGTCTTGACACATGCGGTGTACCAGCAGGTGCGCTAGCATCCTCGTGGCGTGCTTCCCGTGGTGCATGCCATCCTGGATGTCGAGAGCCCACTTCTTGGTCAAGGTCGTCCAGTTCACCTGAACACAATCGTCGGCATTAGACGGGCAAGTTGGGTCAGCCCGGCCGGCGGTGTGCGTGGGCTTTCGGCGGACACACCAACACCGGTAGCGCTAGCAGGAAGAGGGCACAGGAGAGCGGGGGTCAAGGGGTACGAATCGGGATGTGGAAGCCGGAATAGGAAAGGTCTTCCACTGCCAAAGAGCTTGAGGGAATAAATGGACTCGATTGGGGGGGGCAAAGGGATGACGAGACGATGCGTGCATGGGCCGGAGGTGACACTGGATCTGCTGCGGCAGGACAAGCATTTTGATCAAGATAATCAACCTTAACCCCTCCTTCACACCTCGAAGAAAAAAAAAAAAACTGTCACGGTTCATGCACTACCCTCGGAGCCGAGCACTCGCCTCAATCCACCCCCTGGGTTCCAGCACAGCCCGAAGGCCGTCGTTGAACTGAACAGCACGTTCTAGGACGCAGTGTGGCTCCCTCTCGCTCACCAGGAAGGGGGAAGACAACCAGAACAGAAACCTTCGTTGGGCCGCAGACCGAGCATTTGATCGGATCCAAGTAGCGAGCGGAACAACATGGCAACAAGTGTCGTAAGGTGGGGGTACGTTTTGTTGATACAAGACTATTTGTTGCAAGTTTGATATTCGTGGTGTGGTGTGTGCCATTTTGGGTAGCATGGTTGGCCTGTGACCACGGAAGGCGTCCGCGGCAGCTAGACCGGCCCGGAGGTCAGAAGAAACGAAGAAACCGCGCAGAGATCGGAACGGGTGTTATTGTGAAGACAACAACAACAACAAACGATTTCATCGTTTTCAGAGTTTTGCGGATGGATGCAAGACGACGTGTTTTGAGGATGCCGTGTTCTCTCTGTTGCATCCATCCATATTTGCTAGAGGACGGGTTGATCTGGGTCAACACACCAGCACTTATCATGCAGTCTTACCACTCCGAGAAAACATTGCAATACCACTCGAGAGTAGTTAATATTGTGCCTTTCATCATTAGAAGCCGTCGACTTACGAAGTATGGGTACTGGAGTTATCACGGTGCGGTTTGACGGGATGTGGTAAGTTTCGATGCACTGAGATGCAGACGACGGCAGAACCAGTGTTGATGGACGGGACCTTGAGATGTTTGTGTCACACTTTCAAAAAAAAAGGGGGGTCCTCACCTAGGGCGGAATTCTCCGTTCTCAGTCATTTTGTCCAATGTCTTGCCCAGATTCTCGAAAAAGCGGGCGATCTCGCCGCCAAAGTCATGGTGCCACAGCTTGTGTATCATGCCCCAGTTGGCCAGAACGACGTCCGGCCGAAACTGTTTATTTTCGTAGCAATTTCCATCATTTCACCAAAGTTGTAGGCAGTTGGGGTGGTTGGAAAAACGCGGCTTCATGACCAAACATGTGATGAATTGGGTGCATATCTATTGGTGTTACCTACGTGCGTGAAACGGATAAAGCTAAAAGCCCTCGTACCGGACTAGAAATGGAAAACACATGCTCGGTTCCGTTGTCGGCCGCCAAACAGCTTCATATTTTCTTGCACCCACCAAATCAACAAATTTCCATCCGTCCGTGTGTGGGGGGTGTTTCTCTGAGAGAGGGTGGGTTCAACAACACACAGAGGAAACGAAAAAAGGACAAAACAATTCAAGGAAGCACTCGGCATACCACCCCGATCGAAATCGCCTCCTCCTCGCCTCAAGCAACACACTAACACGTTGTCCTCGACCAATAACCACCTCTCCAATGAACTGCTGAGAGTATCGACATGTATGGACAAAAGTTAAATTGACTCCGCGAATCGAAAATGCAGTCTTTCCAAGCGCTGCTTCCCACCGATAGAATGTAGTCTCTGATCGCGTCGTCCTTGGAATAGTGGAAACCGGATAAACCGCAGTAGCGGTACTTGATAGGCGAACCGTCACCGGAAGTTTCGGCATCATCGTCGCCATCATCCATGTAAAAACCGGCCGGACAGCCTGCGGGATACATTGAGGACGTTTTTGTTGCAACGACAACATCATTGTCATTGCGTCTTGTACTTCGTGTAAATAGGAGCCACGCAAATGGTACCAGTTTCGACACGGAACGCTACAAACTGCGGAAACTCCCCCTTTGTACTTGGAGTGTTTCACGGCGTTGGCGTTCTCTCTTGAGAACCGAGACCGAGTCGCCACATGGTCTTGTAGGTGATACTGAAATTCAACTACCGTTCCTATAGCGCCAACGGTTTGAGCGTGTTTTTTCTGCAGGCCGAAACTTCCAGTGCAGCAGCAGGCAGGGTTCTTGTAGCACTGTTAAACCTTTGTCGGGTGTAAAACATAGGTACGTCGTGCAGCCCAGATGAGATCACCGTTAGCGTGCCCCCAGATTATGAGCTCTTCAGTATGAGAGGCTAGGCCGCACGAGCTGCGGACGAAATAAAAGAAATGAAATGACAACAATACGAAATGACCACAACACCAACCAACCCAGCCGTCCAACAGCACCTACCCTGTATGTACACGATTCCGTTTCTCGAGTTCTACCGTGGGTTATTATGTGCCGCGCAAGACATTTCACCTCCTCTCCGCAAGTGCGCTCGCTCTCTGCGTCGATACAGGGTGTGGGCGATAACCTCCTGCCTCAGAGCACGAGGTCTCATTCACTCCAGTATTTTCTTGGGGTGATCCGTCAACCAAAGCTCATACCGAGTATCGTCTTGAAGGAGGCGTCCTGTCTGCCCAGTAAACATATCGAAACGTTGAGGTTCTTGTATTTCGCTTGCCCTTCCTCCGAATCAGCCTTACAAACACCCAGAGTTGCTTTAACACTTGCCCTTCCGTGGAAGAGACCGTCCACGGCACAAAAACAACAAGAAAAGGCGGAACAAAACAAAACAAAACAAAACACAACCCCAAGCACACAGAAAAAATAGTTCGCCGCAGTCAGTGCTTGCTTTCGCCTCCCTCACTCACCGGCCTGCTTCCCTCGAGCCTGCTCATCTCGGCTGCCTGCTTTCCCGTGCACATCGACGTTCTTCGGTAGCCACAGCTCGGCTCTTGGCTGCCTGCTTGTTTGGATCATACTGGAGGGCATTTTCGACAGGGAGCGGAGACGGGAGGGAGTTTCGTTACCAGGTACTGGGTCGTATTCTTCTTCCATTGACACCCCACGCGCCGTTCAACTCTCGATCCCTGGTACCAGGCAAAAACGAACAGCCAACAAATTCGCCGCTTTCACACGTCGCCATGTGTTGTCTCATCAGGTTTTATGTACTCTGTGAGCGTAAATCCCTATTCCTAGTGCTTCGTTATCCAACAGGGAAACTCCTGATGCTTGACTCCTCCGATAGCATGAAACATAGTCATATGCCCAACCCTCTTGATTTCACACCGTCCTGCGATGGTGAGGGGTTTCAACACAGCAACATAAGGTAGCTCACTCACTCCAATTACCCTACTGCATACGCGGCATGGGTTCGAAGAGCGGGTCCTCGTCGAGAAAAAATCGTTAAATCCTTCGGGCTACCACTGTATGAATCTCTGGTTATAGGTATTGATAAAAAGAGACAACCCATTCCCGTAGTATACGAAGGAACAGGCACCAGCTACTGCAAATGTTCAACAAATATTTCTTTGCACAACACACCACAACAACCCTTGTCGCGCCGAAAGAAGAACGCCACAATCGCAAAGGAATGATCGTCTGTATGGCCCCAATATCGGAGCTCTTCAGCCAGGGAGACAAGACCGTCTATAGCTGAGGAAGCTAAAGATGCGAGCGACGGTGAATTAAATTGATAACAGAACAGACACACAATAACGACCCTGCCTCAAACATTGTTGGTCCCACAAGTGGGGCCAGAGGAACAGATAGAGAGAGAACTACCCAACTGAGGGCACAGGCAACCCTCGCCGAAAGGAGACACATATAGGTCGCGGTATGGTGTTGTTCACGAGCTACTGGGGGCAGGTAGCACCCCTCTTTCGTGAGATTGGCAAGGGGGAAGTTTAAGTGTCGGTGGAGAGATCGAGAGTGTTGCCGACAATAAAGGGCGCGGAGAAGACTTCCCGCTAGCCTGTCTCAGCAGGTGACTTTTGGAAGAATCGAACCCACAGCAGGTGTTTCTCGGTATCAACTATCAACAATACACTCCGACTCTTCCTACATGTTTCGCGTGTGCACTTGTTGCGTCATTTCTACCATTCGTCATCCCCACCAACCGTGGCAATAAGTAATTGGGAACGCACCTGTCCCCGTAGTCAAGAAATCTGGTGATGTTCAAGGCCTCGAAGCAAGTGTGGCGCGCTTCTACATTCAAAGGAGGGTAGCGACAGTCGTAAGGCTTCCACACGTAGCCTCCTGTAATCGCTTGCTGGTAGCCGTCCACCTTGCCTCCCGACGTGGGAAGGTTGTAAGGCTTGAAGAAGCACTCCTCGGGCTGGGGGAAACGAAAGAGAAACCGGTGAGAACATAGGAAATACAGAGGTGTGGAGAGAATCCCATGCAAGAATCCTGCCTGCCCTCGGTTACGGGTCGAAGGTGACCTACTGTAGATACCATGTCGTCTCCGGAAGGTGCCTGCGTCATCAAGAACTCATATGCATAGCCTACACGGACTGGGCGCGTCCGAACAACATGTATACCATCCGTGGGATAGGATCCGGCAAATGATGCCCATACATGTGCAACTACATTACATGGATGATCATTCCGTTAATCCTGGAAGAGTGCTGAAGATACCCTGACGATGCCGAGGCAGACCCTGTATGGTATCAAATGACAGCGGATACAGAAAACAACCGGTGGGATACCTCACGAGTATCGAAGGCAAACAAGTTCGCTAAACAGCGCACACACCTTGGTGACGCCGAAGATGTCTCTTCGATAATCCGGCCAAATAGGGTCCCCATGAATCCCCTCTGCTCGCATGTCGCCGCATTCTACATCATGTAGACCCACCCAACGGCCGGGTTCGGGGAGGACGTTGGTGGACCTGAAGACCAAAACGGTTAGAGTATTATCGGTGATAGAGAGTTTATCCGGTAAGCAAATAGGGAGATGATGAATGGCTTGGAGTAGGCAAAACAGCACTATTAGCGGGATATATCACAGAGGAACGGGATGTGAGGATTTCACATCAACTTCTTGTCGTGGTATCTTCAAACTCTGTTGTGATTTAAGGGTTGCGTGCCTCCTAGCCCGCTCGATTCGATGGCCACCGGCAAGAGGGGACACCGGGGTGGGGGTCTCTTCAGCGCTACTTTGTAACATGCCAATGTGTCTCAACGCCACCGTCGCCGCCATGCTCACACCCTCCTTCTTATGGAAAGGGGCTGGGAAAAAGACTGCCCCCCAAAGCTAGACTCATCCTTGTCTCAGGAACGTAGACATGTTATAACATCTTGCTACCGCCCTACTTCAGGAATCAACATGGTGTCTCCCGTTCCATGCTGCTGCAAGACTACTGCCGGATCTTCTGTCTGTGGACACAGCTATCTTCTGTCTGTGGTCACAGCCTACCCTTCGGTGCATGCATACCTGCACAGTGGTAGCGCGCCGTCCCCGTCTGCGATTGATACCGACGGCCCCGCCGCCTTCACCGTCAATTTCTTGCCGCTGCCCAGGACCCTCGCGCTGTCCGGTGTGCACCAACTGCGATTTTGACCAGCAACCGTGTGTGTTTCGTGGATCATTTCATCACCGAACCACTCATTAACCAGCCGCACGTTCGAGTTCTTGAAAACAAATTGAAACATGGCGTGGATCGGGCCCGTGGTGTGTGTGCGCACTCCCCCGGAACACCGCATTCGCCCCCGTGCTTAGCTGATGTGACCGTGCAAATTGCACCCTTCGATAACGACTATATTACCGCAACTACACACCAACATGAACACGCGAAAAACAAGGAGACGGATCACTCATTCGTGTTGGTACCTTCTTGCGATGGACATGGAGTGCGCGAGGTACATCATACTCTCTTCGTCTCTTGGTACGCCGCTGGTGATGGCGCGGTTCATTGCCTTGTCTTCCACGGGCGGCCCGCTCACAGACGAGTACAGCACACACCTGACAAAATCGACACACGCACATCAAACACATCAACAACAACACGACAGGCGAGAGCGTTCTTCGCTTGTTTCTGTTACGGTGCATGGAACGATTCCTGCGCCCCTTGGAGGAGGCCGCCACTCTACAACCACACCCGCAACGCGACAGATGCCAATACTGTATGCTTCCATCTTCGAAACGCAATCTTCGTACACCGCAACGAGGGAGCAAAGGCGAGAGGCTCAGAAACTCGCACGAAGAAACAACCCGTTATTGCCGACTCGAAACCGTGCTACATTTCCGGTGCGTGAGTTCGTACCATATGTGGGCTGCTGTGTGGCGGGCCTCACTTTTTTTCCCCGTCGATGGTGGCGATATCGGGCTTGACGGTGTTCGACCAGCCCACGCACCCTTCCCAGCGGGTGCACAGGGTGCAGCATGCCTCCGCAAGGCCGTAGAACACCACACCCCTGCTTTCCACGAAAGAAAAAACGCAAGCCCATTCCCATGGTCGAGGGAAACGTGTTGGTGCCACGGAAATGGTGCTCATGGAAAGTCGACGGGACGGTCGCCGAGTCACCATGAGAACACCGGGGATGAAACTAAGAACGCAGCTGAGAGGGGAACACGGTGTACCTCATCTTCCCGTCAACAACTGGAGTGGTGTGAAACAACGACCGTCGCATCCCTGTGTATAAAAACCCGAAACAGTGCAGGTCGGTTTTCCGTCGACAACGCAAGGGGGGTGGGGGGGTGTCCCGGGGCAAGAGATGTTCGACGATGGCCAATGCTAGATGAATGGGGGGTGGATGCTGAACGACTCACCCCACGGAGCCCATCTCGACGGATCCTTCGGGGTATTGACCGGCCACTTCGTGGCACCTGCTCCCGGCGCGAGGCAAATCATAGAATAGAATCATGAGAAAAAGTTGGTAGATATTATTGATTCGTGTTGATCGCACAAGGAAGGGTGTTGTCACAGACAGCCCTACTATTTGTGGTGTTCCACGTTTAAGCAGCAGTGATTGGATTGATGGAATCAGACTAAGGGCCCCCGGAACAGCAAGTTCGATGTTAACTAATTTTGAAAACATACGCAAGAGCACCAGAAACTGTACAACAGACACACAAGACCAGTCGGAAGGCATGGCAAAAAACGGAAATCGTTGAATCCCGCACAGGGCGACAGTAGAGGCTGCTAAAAACATACATTTCCGCGTCTACCTCCGCACGCCCCCTTTGAAATCAGGACAAAAATTCAAGAGAGCCAAAACGGCAGGCGTTCAAATAAGGTCTGTGTTGACATGTACCTGGTAATTAGTACTGTTGTCAGTAGAGGACACCATGAAGAGGCGTCGTGCGTGCTGGCACGTTCAGGTTTGCTACTGGAGCTGAAATATCGAAGGTCGCAGTAACCTCTGAACAGTCCGAAATCTGCGCCGGAACCAAGCGGCATCCCACATT